AAGCCAATAAAATATATTTGCGGAAAACGACAGCCATTTACTCAGGCAGCTTCTCCCGCGAGTAAATTGAAACGTTCCAGTATACATTGTATAATATCTTATAAAAAGGTATACTGACAAAGTAATACAGTTTTACCAAATGTAATACAATTACCTTTACACAGCTTTATACAATTGCTTGTATACCTCTGTATGCAAACTTACTGTCGATGTTTTTTCACCCGGGTAATGCATTGTCAAAAGCTAAGTGATTTTCACCGCAAGCTACAGTGAAAGCATGCAGCTGTAGCTTACGGTAATTTTCACTGTATGCAACGGTTAATTTTACTGTATTCAAAAGTGAATCACACCGTAAGCTACAGTGCTGCAGGATTTCACAGTAAGGAGGAGTGGGGCACCAACTGTCAGGGACACATACTAGCGGGCTGGCAATGGCAGCCCATTCCCTTTTTCATACAGCAAAATTTGTGAAATCATAACCTCTTTACGTCTTAATTTTTGCAAGATGGGATGGTGAAACTTCAGGGCTGTCACAACAATGAGAAAGCGGAATTCCCTGACATTCCCGTGAATTTCCCTGACAACAAGATTAGCAGTCAGAATGCAATAAGCAAGAAGGGACTTTTGCAAACACCTCGCCAAGTACCTAAAATAACACTGCCGGCTGTTGTCCTCTGACGCAGCGTTCAGTTCCCTGACATTTCCCTGACTTTCCTGACACATTTTATTTTCCCTGACATTTCCCTGACTTGTGGCAACCCTGAACTTTCAGTGGTATGGCAGCAGCGTACATTCAAAGATTTATTGACAGTAATATCCCCTAATCCCCAAGGGTGATTCTCAGAATAAGGGCCGTTTAGATTCCGCGGCCCTTCACAACTATGTGATATGGTTTGAAAAGGTTTTTATACCATCTAGATACTCGAAAGCACTAATACTACCTGGTGCAACACTAAAAACCTAAGAATACTGCAACAGTAGGTGACTAGAGCAGTTTAAATGGTCAAAATGTGAACTCCAGTACGTTCCTAATGTCTGAGTTCATGCGGACTTTGCCAAATTCCGGACAATTTTAAGGGAATAGTTGTCTAAGGCACATTGCATTTCTGGAATGACATATCCAGGGAACGCAATGAATGAATTTCGATGTGGAAATATTTTTCTATATTTCGTGAGGAGACGACCAAAGTCGTTCTCACTAACTTTTTAAAAAAGTAACGGAGTTCACAATGTTTGCACTGACGTCAAACTGGGCAGAGGTAGAGTAACAATTCTACGCCCACAGTACTACTCTGTAGGGACTATTAATGTTCCCCGAAGCAATCGGCAGAGCTCTTACTTCGTCATCGTCAAAAACTGTCTTCAAATTCGAAGGCTGGTACGCTTTTGCAGTGTGAATACCGTGTCGCCTCCAAACAGGCACGATTGCGTCATATCAAATCCCCCTTTCGATGAAAAGGAAGGTTTTGATGTGCTGCTTCTTTTGTGGCTAAGCGGATCCTTGCATCTGCAACCCCGGATTAGTAATGCTTCAATTAGTACCTACTGACTTGTGAACTCCGTATCCCCTTTTGTAGGTCTGACCTTTGTTTAATAACTTTTAGTTACAGGTAACGCGTTGTAATGACCTAATGAGAAAATATGTAGTAAGGGGTTAATTCAGAACTGTACATTATGAGGTTGGGCATCTGTGGAGCAGTGTCGGGGCGAAAAACAAGTTATTTATTGCAATGTTCTAGTCATACTAAAACGCATAAAATGGGGATGACTAGATGTAAAATATGAGTGCGACACACTAGTGGAGAAAACAAAAGACTAATTAAAAGGTGCGGGAGGCAATATTTGAGTTTTATCATTGATTGAACGTGACCACAATATGGTCTTTTAACGTTATACTAGAAGTACGTGATTTGAACTATCGCCACTTTACACGTATCTTATTTGAAGGTAAATAAAACCATTGCGACCCAAAAACCTAGCAAATTCGACAAAAAAAAAATAAAAAAATTAGGAACTTCCAAATGGCCCGTATTCTGAGAATCACCCCCAAACATTGGGGCAGGTACTGTCTCTCATTTTATGATCTATTGTAGCAGGAATGGTTTGAGTGTAATTTTGATTTTAAGGGGTGATTGCTTCCATTGACTTCCTTTCGTAAATGCCATTAAGACTGTTTCGAGGATCCACTTCTCCCTCCCATGAGTTATACACCAATATAGAAATGGTGCTCTTTTCGAGATGATTTGAGAGGCAATAATATTTTTAAGGGGGTCTCAATGCTTTCTTGTGAGTGAAGGACGAATAGAGGCACACTAACCGAGAAATCCGCAATGCTGCCTGAACTAGGACTGCTAGAGAAGAATTTCCAAAAAGTGACACTATGTGCCCCACTCTCCCTTAGCTAACGGTGAAAATCACTGTAAGCATTTAACAGTGAGGAGTTCAAAGTTCAGTATATGGGGATTATAATCGCAGTTTTGAAGTAATTATGTAGCTTTCTGTTACATTATTCAAGTTACAAACACATTCCCTTTACCCATGTGTCAAAACTCTGCACCCTCTAAGCAAACGCAATTTGACCCTTTTGCAGGTACAAAGCTCTTAAGACGACTGTTGTAGATTGGCCAATTTCTTGATTGCTAAGGACGGACGCGATGGCTACGAGCGTGATCATGCGTCCCTTACAAATTACGCTGATAGTAACGTAATCGGTGTTTAGCCACAGGTACAACAATCACGATGCGCATGCCGGTGTAAGTAACTATTGCACCGTTAATTTTAACAATTTGCCAACAAAGAAAGAAGAATCCAACATTTAGCCTAGGTCTGCTTACTTTGCCGGCAATCTCGTTTGACAGGGGACGAGCCCGCCTCTTAAATCCACACCCCACGTGTCGGCGAGCTATTTCTTCGCAAATGCATGATTTTTGAGAGTCTGGTCAATCCGAGGGAGAAATCACTTGCGTGCTAACTGTACTTACTTGTACTAACGGCGTAATAACGCGTATTAATAGTGATCAAATGGTAATCAATCAAGCGTAGTAGTGCTGTAATAACAAAATGTTATCAAAATCATGAAAAATTGCTCTAAAACTATAGGATGTACTAACGTGGCCTAACACACCAACTCGTACACTTTCATCTGGAGTGCTTTCCCCCCCGGGACGGTTAGTCAAGTCAAGTCAATCGCGTAGTCCGAACCGCCCTGTGCCACGTGCCGGCCAGACGTCGCGGGACTTTCCCCGGTGAAAGGTGGGGCGTGGCAGAGGCAAGCCCAAGCACATAAATTCCCTTCCCATGGTGTCTATGGCCACGAGCACACTTACCAGGAGAGGGCGTTTACTATGGCCACCTTGTTGGCCATGGTAAGCTTGGGGGCCGTTCATACACTACGTAGTTCATATTGGAGGAAGG